GATACACAATCATGTAACAATTTTCTTTAATTAATATCTAAAAATCTATGTGGTCATTTGCAAAATGGTAGAGGACTTTTTTGTTCAATTTTACTTAATGTATAAGTATACAATGGCAGACGGTGCCACTGCAGCTCATCTACCATATCGCGCGTGATCATTCACCAATCTTCTTTAATTAATCTCTCGGTTACTATCACAAAACAGTATGGGACTTTTGTGTTCATCTCAATCCGTTCTACGTCCTCACGAGAGATTGTGAAGGTGAGACGAGACACCCTGTATATATATATATATGTATGTGTGTGTGTGTGTGTGTGTGTGTGTGTGTGTGTGTGTGTGTGTGTGTGTGTGTGTGTGTGTGTGTGTATATATATATATATGCATATATAAAATGTTAAAATCTTCAAAAGAGATATATCTTCAAAAGAGATTCGTGACATGCTTGCGCGTTGCACGTCTCTGTTGCGCGGAACTGCGTGATGCGGAGCACAAAGGCTAAACTGTATTCGCTAATTAAGTTTTCACAGTGCATTCTTTATTAACACGTTGTCAAGTGCATTATTAAAAAATCGCTTTCGCACTCCTAATTTGCGCTTACCTCGCCGACGTATTTCCGCGCGGTAATCTTTCTCTATTTTACTTTCGGACATTCTCGTGCAAGATGATTTTATGATCAACCTTCTCAGAGGAATGCGGAGAGACGCGTGCATGTACATTCATCCAATTCCCTGAGCTCAAACACTGTCGGCGAGGATGCAAAACGCGGGCGTTATTGCGAATAAATATTCACCGCGAGAGGGAAAGAAAACTCACCGCATGACTGACGTCGTGTGTATTTCCGTCACTTGGAAATTAAATATCTCTTTTCCGGCTTTAATCAAATCGTCCTTAAAGAGATTAAGCGAATCGCGATCACACGGCGCAAAAATTAGACACGTCGTCATTGATGCAAAAACTGCGAGCCGTCCACACCGTTTCCCGCGTGATCCCATTGGTTCAATTGCAATTGCGGATATTTTTATTTCGCGTCGCACTGTTAAAATCGAGCCACTCAATCTACCGGCGCATATCTGCGGTAGAAATGCAGCGTGGTTTATTGATTCGTCCATAGATACTCAAGTGCCCTCCTCTTCGGCACGTGTGTTATTTCGCGATCAAATGATGTGTGGACAGCGACGCATACGTGCTGTTACATTTAACGGGGAATTAATGCGCTGGATTACGGCGGCGTTCATACTCGGCGCGTTCATACACCTCCCCTCGCGCACGCACGTCGCGACGAAAATATTTATCGTTTACGTGAGATACGGTAACAGTATGCGGCGTATCGTTTGATTTAACGTTATGATCCCAATTAATAACAAAACGTCGACACCATCGTTATTCGTTAATTACGCGTCGCACGAGTATCGCATTAGTTATAGTTCATTAATATTATATCCGTGTGATTTCATATAAATATACAACTCTTATTAACGGAATCCCGATTTACGGTCAAACAATTTGTCAAGAAAAAATTTCACCACGCAAAATCCGGACGATTATTCGCGCACAATTCCATGCCACGGGAAAGATATTAAGGATATATCACTTGTCTGAATATGGTTCAGGTCTGAATATGGCCACAACAAAATATCAATGTTACTTCTCGTCTATGCATACAAAACGGTTATAGTACTACAGTACTCTGACAGTGGTACACTGGCTCTCTATGCTGCTTGTTTCACACGTGTTTGGGCGGTATTCTCAATCATGTATGGTGTAATCAAACCTTACGGGCCTCTCAAACATAATATTTGTTCTACAGACTACAACAGAGGGACAACAATTAACTCTCTTCGCTTGAGGCAACCATATATCTGAGGATATAATTGAATATCGCGCATAGTCATAAGAATTATGACTGTGAGAAATGTATAGATGGGCATGTAACGGTAACTCTTAATGCCATATCTGTTTAACTTGAAGTCGCATAAATTTTCTCTCTAAACATGGAATATGTGAATGTAGCAGTTTTCTCCGTGACATATTTAGAACAAGTATTGGAAAACGCACCAGTGAGGACACAGAGATATCAAGTAGAAACACGAGTCTCTCTATGGCCGGTATTCATAGTCCTATCTTTATATATCAGATTGTCTCAAGTTCATCGTCAGATATAAACAACGAAATAATCTGTACAGTATCTAAAAATAAATCTTGAGGAGAAGTTTGGATTTAGCCAAGAAATAGGATAGATTTAGCCAGAAAAATTCTACAAATTTTTCTCAAAGAAATAAATAAAGATATCAATATAGGATTTCGACCATATTATTTATCATTGTTTTAAATATAAAAAAAATCATTTAAAAATAGCAACTCCGTTCAAATTTTTTCTGCTAACCACGCCCCTAACTGATGGATATTACAGCTCGTGTAATAATCTGAAATAAATGGGAGAAAAATTTTAAACTCTTATATTAAATTTGCTGGAGAATAAACCTAAATGAACCTAAATGAAAATGAATATAAATCTTTTGAAAATTTTTCAAAATTATTTTCGCTTTAAATAACAAAGAAAAAGAACGAGAGAGAGAGAAAAGACTTTGAAGTCATCATTTGGTTATTTTCTGCATATAATAAAGGTTCATCCTCCAGCAAATTTAAAGTATGTCTTTAAATTTTCTCCTCCTACTTGTTCCATATTATTATACGAGCTGTAATGTTGTCTACCAATTAGAGACGTCCGCCGGCACTGCCTTTAGCACAAAAGACCTGGACGATGAAATTTAAATATTTTCAACTAAAAAAAATTGTTTTATACTGAAAGCAATGATAAATAGCATAGTCAGAGTCCTATGTCGATGTCCATTTTTTTAAAAGTAAAAAATTCTCCTATTTTTCGGTTATCTAAACCGGAACCTCCCCTAAAGGCAATCTTAAATCCGAGACCTGACTACCAGTACTGTCCCTAGACTAACCGATTGTTATCGCGGCATATTTTACGTCGCGGGCTACCGCGGGGTCTCCAAATTTCCAGACTTCAAGCCGACGCGCGACGTCTCTTTGTACGAAGGCACACGCCTATAAAATTCAAGCATCGTAGTCCGCGATAAATCAAACGAGCGTAACATAACGTTATATCCGCGCTATGGCGCTCCAATACCACTGCCGGATCCCCGCTGGAAATTATTTTATGGTCGGCTCTGATACTCGCGATATTATATCTTTCCGACGCGCGTATGAGAAACGTTAAAAGCGTTCCGTGCCAATTCTAAATTCGAGGCTGCGTTTGCCTCTCTCTCTCTCTCTCTCTCTCTCTCTCTCTCTCTCTCTCTCGCTCTGCTGCCGGGAATTCGAGTGGGGCGCGGGTCGGATAATGCCGAAAAGTTTCCTCGTTACTCCGGAAAACTACTGTACATCGAGATTTCGGTTAATTTAGTGTACGCCGGTCGCACCGGTGGCGAACGCGAGCGCGTTAGTCGGGCAGAGGCAGACCGAAATATGCAAACGATCAAATTTCTCCCGAACTCCATTATTAAGTTATTAACTACGTAAGTGCGCTTAGCATAAATTTCTATCTTACAGTGGAAACATCCAGCGCGAGAGAGTACGGCACGGCGTGGCCGTCAGGTCCCGCATACCAGCTTTATTACGAGTGCGCGAGTGGGGGTGAGCGAGCGAGCGAACGCGTACGCCTCTGGAAAATTGAAACCCGTGAATTTTTTAACGTCCGCCGAGATATTCTTGCCCGGGCACGTCGGATCGGTTTTTCTTCGGCCTGATTATGCG